GTACCGGCCTGGTGGTCTGTGGCCTTAGGAATTTTTCCTGACTATACTCTCTCAAGAAGCATCACCTCCACAGATGTCACCCTCTCAAAGAAACCTATCTCCACCACCCAATATAAATTTATGAAAACCACCACCTCTTACCCTGATAGACTTTTCTCCAACCCACTTATGATCTTCTCATAGACAAGACAATTTACTTATTGAGGACGGAAGGTTGTTTCTCTTTCACCATAGATTATAAATGTTCTTTTAGCAGGCATTTTGTGCAATTTTATTGGTTTCAACATCTTCACAACTTTGAAATGTATACATAATAAGCACTCAATGCATATTGATTGTAGGAATGAGTGATTTGTTGTGAACCCAGATTAAAACCTCCATTTTTCCTCATGAAGGTACATTTCATATTGTTTGTTTCCCAGATTACATGAGGATCAGCAGAAATGGAGACAGTCACATAGAAGCTTACCACCAAGTTTCCAGTGTGATATATTTGGAAATGTTATGATGCCTTAAAGGAATGAGAGTTTATAAATAAAACATCAGTTTTATTTATAATAATATTATTTATAATATTATTATATATTATTATATCATATATATTATATGATATATATTATATATTATTATTTATAATAAAACATCAGTTTTATAAAAGTTCAGGAAATATGAAAAAGCTCCCAAATGATTATCTAAACAAGCTATGTGCCTAGACAGTGTTCAAGCCACAGCCACACCACTGGACCCTCACAGAGCTCTAGACCATCATCAGTGAGCAGCAAAATGAAAGAGTTTTTGATATAATGACCATCCCAAATTTCAATATGGAATGCCATGATAACCCACTAGGAGAAAAATATCAACTATTTTATAAGTGAAGGCCAAATATATTAGAAGCCCAAATACAACTCTGTGGATTAGTTTTCTGATATTCAGACTTCCCCAAGGCAAAAAGAAAGGTCTCCAACAATACACATGTTGCTCAAAGAGCCATGGGAACAACACTCAAGGAGACACCCATCCTGTCCAGGGCCATGATTATAATGTGAAGTCGTATTTTCAACCATAGCTGAAATTAAAATATAGCCATTACATTATATAGACTCAGAACCTTAAGATTCTATCTATGAGAAAGAAATATCAGACACGTCTTATCCCTGAATTTAGCTCAGCATTATCCAGCTGTTCCATTTTATTTTCATATAAAAGGAGAATAGGGCCCAGGCTTGGAACTAATACCTTTCAAGCACTGATGTTTTAATTTGCTCATCTTCTGTATTATAGGACCACTCTCCTTTTGCGATCTGGCACTGAGGGAAGCTGATCTAAATCTGAAACTCTTTGACTTCAAAGAGGGTTCTGTGCTCAGGTTAGAACCACAGTGGAAAGAGCCAGATAAGAAACTCTATAAAAACACGGAAATTATTTGATATCCCAAAGCTTTTGTCTATTTCCTCCTATCAATCTATAAAATAATCTTAGCAATCTAAGCAAAGCTAGTCAAACATCAAAAGAAACTGGGAATTAGGGTAAGTTTATCTCTTCCAGTATCCATCAGTGTTCATTTTAATGAACTTTTTATACTCAAGTTTATATATGTGTGTGTGTGTGTGTGTGTGAATCCCCTGGTGCCTCAGACAGTAAAGAGTCTGCCTGCAATGCGGGATACCCAGGTTCGATCCCTGGGTCAGGAAGATCCCCTGGAGAAGGACATGGCAATCCACTCCAGTATTCTTGCCTGGAGAATCCCATGGATGGAAGGGAATGATGGGCTATAGTCCATAGGGTCGCAAAGAGTCAGACACGACTGAGCAACTTCACTTTACTTTCTTTCACATATATATATATATATATATATATATATAAAACTCTCTCTCTCTCTCTCTCTCTATATATATATATATATATACACACACACACACAGGCTGATTTTTACCTAGAGAGATAATAGCAAAAAAAACGAGGAAATAAATATGATAAAGAAGAGTGTTATTCAAGAGAAACTAATTTTTCAGAAGTTATTATAAATTTTATCCATTATATGAAACATTTTTCTGTTCAAAGAAACAGATAAAAATGGATAAATTATCACCACTCTTCATATTTTAATACAGTTCATCAAATTTTATCATGCATTTCTATAAGCTTGAATTATATGAACTTGGAAATAAAGAAACTAAACAGGAATAAATAAAGCAAATGCCAAGAATTCTTCAATACTGGGAGTAGTAAGTGAGCTGTGAAGGAACAGGTCATCAAAAAACTTGATTTTAGGACAAAAAGATTTTATCAGAACTCCCTTCAGGCTCATCCTCTTCCAGCTCTTCAAAAACAGGACAAAACATAAACAAAGCGAAGTGAACCACAAACAGAAACTCTCTAAAGAAGCCAGTGGAGTAAAACTACTTTTCACAAAGGTAAAGAATAATTTAAGTATAACGCAGTGGGGTTTAAGAGATAATTGTCAATAAATTCAGGAAAAGGTAATGTTTAAATCACCAGGGTTTTTTTTTCTTAATATATCACAAATGAATTCCATAATAATATATATGTATTGAAAAAATAACCACCAGCTCATTTACTTCAAATAAACCACTTTTTCAAATTTAAAATTAGGGTAAAAGATTTCTTCTATCCCATTTGCTTTTTAAAACAGAAGGACTTCATAATCTGGAAAATTACATTTTAAAATGATCCAAATATTATATCAATTGATCATTCTAATCATCATCTCATAATGATGATTTCCTTCCTAAGAACTAATAAATCAAGCTAAAATTATAATGAATATGAGTTATTGCTTTGTTGCAGTAAATCTCAGTTAAAAAAAAATGGCTTCAAGATTCGGTAGACTTCAATTAATATAAATGTCATCTCAGTCAGCATAAGAAACATTACCTGAGCAAGCTATTCATTGAACAACAGCTTCTTGGTACAGAGAATGGAGAAAATAATATGACCAATCTTATACGGTCATAACAAAATTAACAGACATAGTCTCTTCTAATTAAATTTTAACAGCTTTGTGTAACTACTATGATGGTTCATGATTCACAGAGAGTATTTGATCTCTGTTACTGTAATTATCACTGCTAATATCACTAGTTGATGAAAAGACCAGTATTCTCATGTGTCCACATACATTCATCTGGGACCATCTTCTGGATATTTGGTCAGGTCATTTAACATTTCTGAAATGCCAACTGCTTTCCTCTTCATTAAGCTAAATCCTAAACAATTCCAACAGGCCTGACATTTATGATAACTTCCCTCACTAACCATATTCCATAACAATATTTCTCTGAATTCAGTGACCTTTTATATACATAATCTGTATTATACTGTTAATATTGCCTTGTCCTTGTTTTCTAGGTTTACTGTAAATTTACTAAGTCTCTACAGCTTCTCCACATTTTATATATATATATATACACATGTATGTGTGCATATGTGCTAAGTCGCTTCAGTTGTGTCCAACCCTTTGTGATCCTACGGACTGTAGCCTGCCAGGCTCCTCTGTCCATGGAATTCTCAGGCCCACTGGAGTGGGCTGTCATTTCCTTCTCCAGGGGTCTTCTGACCCAGGGATATAACCCACGTCTGTTTCTTGCATTGGCAGCAGGGTTCTTTACCACTAGCGCCACCTGGGAAGCTCAGATATATGTATGCTTTTCTGCTAAATAAAAAATTGTATTTTAATACAAAGGATTATCTTTTCCTTAAAAATAAAACACATATCCTCTAAAAAGCTAGTATAGCAGTGGGCATACAGTAGATGTCTAATGCATGCTTTTAAGGTGAATCATATTGTAACCTTATAATAGGTTAAGATCTTATTAATACAAGATCATGTGGCTCTTTCATCTTTCCCATGATTAGTTCACCACCCTGACAGTGATAGAGTTGAACACAATCTCCATGGAATCAACCTGGATGCTCTAATGGTGTTATTTCAACACACTGAACTGAAAATCCCAATCCCCTTCTAAATTCAGGTATTTTCATAATTTTATTTCATGTGTATAATAATAACTGAATTCTAAGCTATCTATCTAACCACAGATAAACTCCAAATCCTAAGTTACATGGGAACAGCTGGGAAGCCGGCAGAGGTGCCATTCTAGAGCAGAGATGTCTTCTTCCAGGACAAACCAACCACTAATGCTATGAGTAACTCCTTCAAATGTTTCCCTTCTCACATTAAGATAGATGCTGATCCACATCCTTGTTCAACAGGTTATGTCGAAGCATTTAAAAGTCAATATTTCTCCTCTCTTAATTCTATTTCCCTATACCCAGCCTGTCCACTCTTTCTGTATTTTATAATCATTATGTATTTAGTGTTTAGAATAAACCAAGTAGTTTTCACATACAAAGGAAATTTCTATTCTATTTTGCCATATGTAAATAAATATATAACTAAATACATATTGATTTAGCTTGAGGTTTATGGAAAGCAATAAAGAATTCAACATTGTAGAAGGGGAAAAATTAATAATAATAAATAAATGCCAGCAAAGGAAATAGGAAGTTTTCAAATTGACTTTGCAATCATTTGGGGCTTGACATATAAAATTCCATTTTACACTAATCCTATCTACTATTCTATCAGTATAGGATATCTTGGTGGATAATAGGGTTCATGTTATTATATAAATCATAAATGTATCATATTCCCAAATCTCATCTAACTGCTCTAATTCCATCTTTGGGATCAATAATATAACTCGTTATGCCTGGGAAAAAAGTGCCCTTAAGGCCATAGATATAAAAAGTTACCATAAGAGGATTTGCAAAATCAAAGAGGTTTTCAGAAACATGCACAATTTTAAACAGATTATAGTTCATCCACACATTCAAATATACCAAGTCTTATATCCTCTTGCACTACCTCCTTGTAGGAGCAGAATGAATATCATAATCATTGATTTTCCCCTGGAAAAAATAAATCTTCTGTATTTCAAAAGCAGCATGCACCATGCAACGTGCAAAAGAAATACCTTGGGTTTCTTATTCTCAGGGCCTGCTGACATGGACAATGTACAAGGTGAACTCAGCTCCTGGGTTCTTGTTAGAGAGAAGGGAGGTGACGGGGCTGAGACAGATGACCTGTGCTCAGATACAGAGCTTTCGGGTTTCCCAAGTCTTGAAGGCGGGGTAAGATCTGGGCGCAGCGCGGAGGGGCTGAGCTGGCGTGCTTTTGTGGGAGGATTAGCCAGGGGGAGAGCAGAGGGCCCCAGACGGGGAAGAGAGGCAGAGCTGCAGCTGGAGACAGGGGCTGGGCGTGGAGTAGACGGAGTCTGCCCTTGGCCAGAGGCCAGCGCTTGTGCGCTCCTGGATCGGTTTATCAGGTTTGAAAGAGCTGGGGACGGATGGTAGAGTCTCTCTGGTGAGGAGAGCCTGGCCCTTGGGTTAGTGGGAGGAGACACAGAAGACGATGTGGAGGAAGGTGATGGAGAAGCATGCGAGCAGATATCCCTGGGCTTTCCCGGGCCTCTGGGATCAGCATCCTGTCTGCCTTTGGAAGACAGAGGAGAAAAGCTTGGAGGGACGGGAGGCAGACCCACGGAGCTGGAGGTACCGGTCTGCAGCTGGGAAGTCACTGGGCTGCTCTTCAGAGTCGGGGATGGCATTTTCTCTACAATCACAGAAGCGAAGCTGCTACTGCCCTGTTTTGGGGGAGAAAGGGCCGATGCCTGGGGAGAGGGAGCAGCTTTGGTGGGAGAAGAAAAGGGGAAGGATGGCTGGCTGAGGTGGGAAACCGGGTTTTCCCTTTGCTCGGGAGACCCCGATCGCAGGGAGCAACTTGAGAGGGATTTCTTAGGTGTGGGTGGGGTTTGTTTGGCTTTTTGATCAAGCGTGAGCGTGGAGGAAGCCAGGGAGTTGAGAGAGAAGGTGGGACAGGAGGCCGGGGAAAGGGGCCTTTGGTGAGAAGGGTTGGACTTGAGGATGGCAGTGAGAACGGAAAGCCTGGAGGGCACCAGGGGTCTCACCCCTGGCCTTGAGAGGCTCCCGCTGGAGGACGCTTGGCTACAGACCGTGGAGGAAGAGCCGTGGAAAGGGGAGGGGAAAGCTTTGGGACTCGGCGAGAGCGAGTGCGTGACGATGCGGACTGGGATGTAGGAGGCTGCACCCGACTTCAGAGAAGCACCGGAGGCTGGTGAAGGAGAAGAGGCTCTCGGACTCTCTTTGGGACTAAGGACGTTCGAGGTGACCGTCTTCTTGAGGACTTCGGAAGGCTGCCCCGGGTTTTGCTGTGCTGCGCTTGGACTGGATGAAGGAGAACCTGATACCTGAGCGGGCTGGGGGACCTGTGACGTCGAGGACGTGCCCTTCGGTGCAAAAAAGGGTGCAGAGTGAACGGAAGTTTGAAAGTACGTGGTTGTTTCTTCCACCAGGGCCCCACGGGTATCCAGCCTCCTCGAGTGGAACTCCTCCAGGACAGAGGCGCCGGCGAGGTCGCCTGGGGCAGGTGGTGTTTTCTGATTAGTTGGAGAAACAAAGGAGAAAGCAGGTGGTTTACAGGCAAGCTGCTCAGAGGCAGTGGGAGAAGTTAACTAGAGGAAAGAGAAATAGACAGGGTCATAGGACATCATTTGTGAAACTGTCAAAGCATTCTTGTCACTCGTGCGTGTATGCAAACAGTCCTATTCGTTTACACAAGGAAGCCCTTAAACCTCCCCCAAAATGGAAGAAACTCAGTTTTGCTAATGAGGCGTTTCTTTGAATTTGAAATAAAATATAAATAAATGGTGAACTCTTAGACACTAGATCTCATTTATTCCCCACAATAAGCATCAGTATAAAATTGTATTTGCATGTCTCCCTTTGGAAAGTAATTCATTGACAAAATCTAAAAGAGTTATCTTCTTTTGGAATTGGGTGATTTGAAAAGATTTAAATCATCATTAATATAAATTTCAAAATGCACTTCGGAAAGGAAATAGCTTTTCTTCCATTGTAAGACTATAAGCCATAATATAATAAAAATGATTACAATCTTTCAAAAGTTTAACACACTTTGTTTAAAATTCTAAAAACTTAAGACTTTTCCTACACATTGTAAACCTGAAAATAATGCCCAGAATTCAAAAGATATAGCACCCAACATCACTATACAGTGATAAATTGAGAATGAAAGCCAAGGGTGAAATAGGGATGGAGTTTTAGCTTATGAAAAATATTTTCCCTAATTACTTGTCAGAATGAACAGTTAACAAATGATGTGAGTTATGCTGGAAGGAATGAATAGATAAGTAGAGTATTACAAATGCATTCTGCCTGAAACAATGCAATTCACCAATCCACATCAAATAAAAAGAAAATAAAGAAATAATGTCCCAAAGTGGTTAGGGAGAGCCCATAAAATAACTGGGTATCTGTATTCTTGTGCTATTTTTAAAAATTATCCAGTATTTTAGGACAAGTACTGAAATTATAAATGATTCTAAAGCCAAATCTTTTAAAGAGTGGTTTCCTTTCAAAATTATTGATTGGAGTCTATCAGTCCATAAAAAGGAAAATATTTGTACCAAAAAAGAATTTAGAAAATATCTGTTATTGAAAACATTAATAAATATTTATTGTTATATTTGTATATATAACATATAATAATATATATTGCAGTATATATCAGAAAAGCTTACAACCATAATAATTAACTTAGCAAGAGCTTCATTTATAAACTCAGTAAAAGATATTTCTTGATTTTGCTTTTTAACATGTTAAAAAGGTGCCCATCAGACCGAATGCAAAGATTTTCACATCAAAGCTTTGAGTCCTAAAAATATTTAAAACTGATAAATGTAAACAACTCATCCAAAACTTATATATGTTTCTGAACTAATGCATCCAAAATATTCCTTTCTTTTCATATGTAAATTTGTTTATAAATTTGCAACACAGAATTCTTGCCACATAAATAATTTTTGAATAATTTTGGCATGTAACCCAGAATATCTGAAAATCAGGGATAATTGAAAATCAAGCAGAATTCAATAAAATTGAGATAGAAAGTTTAACAACCTCCTCACATATGTTTTACTTAGAAACAATTCTGCTTATCCAGTGATTGTAAAACCAACTCATAAGATTAGCTGTAAGTGAAATTTTTTTCTGTTTCCAATGATTGATCTCTTCTCACAGAAGGAATGAAGAAATTTCAAGACTATGTAGAGTCTCTTTTTATGTTATGCCATAGCTTTTGGTATAAAAAAATTTAAATTAATCACAGCCACAAAAATCCCATTACCTTTTCAGCCATGTTTCCAAATAACTTCATATTATATAACAAACTCACTAATTCATCCTGATTGTCCTGTTAAAATCACAGGACTGTGATTTTGAGGGTCTCATCAAAAGAAAAGACTCTTCTCTCCAACTTCCTCAAGACCATGGCTTCTAATTACCAAACATTCTATTGCATGAAGTCCTGTCTTACCTAATGTAAGTAATTCTAAAACTTGATTACTGAAGAACTAAGTTCAAAGAGAAAGATTTTGAAGAGTCTAAGAGTGTTTTTATTATATTTTTCTAATAAATGTATTAATAAGCATTTGCAATATATTTTTCTAATTTTATATTATCCTAATTTATACTAAAATTAAAATGTGGTACCATATTCTTATAAAATTCCCAGGAGAGGAGAGTGCCTTTTGTAACGAAAAAGATTCATTTCTTGAGTTCCTCTTATTAATAAGTTTAAAAAAAAAAGAGGGTATAAAGACATGAATAATTTTTTTCCATTTATTTTTATTAGACATGAATAACTTTATGCAGAAAGAAAGGATGGATACCTGTCAAAATTTAGTCAACTTACTCAGAATAGGCCTTTTATTTTATTTCTCACCTGTAAACCCCTTACAGGGGATAATACACTTCTCTAAGATGCCTGCAAGTTATTTCAACCCCTTCATCCTCTCACATTAATACCCTCTGTTCTGTTCTCTAGGTTTGTTACTGATGCACTAATTCCTTCTCTCTCAAGCCTATTCTCTGTCTTCTCCTCCATTTATTTTCTAACCTGACCTTTTTTGATGCCTTTGCTTCAGAAACTTCTCTAAAAACACTGCTGGCCATGTTCTCTCATCCCTCATCCCCAGCTCTCTTCTGACTCCTTGAGACCCCCTTACCATACACCTACTTCAAAATCATTTTCGAAGCTTTCTCCTAGAAAAACTATCCTGAGCTCTGAATACATTCACAATAATCTCTGTAACAGAGGATGCTTGCAATGTTCTGCTCTCATCAGGTGGATGGTCTTAATCCTAAATCCACCCTTGGATCCTACATAACAGAGATTATCAGTAATTTGAACAACCAATCTCTGTAATAGAGTTGCCCTGTCATTTTAGTAAGTCTAAAATTAACTGTTTCTCAACACTTTTCACAATAGCCAACATATGGAAACAACCTAAACGTCCTTCAGCAGATGAATGGGTAAAGAAGACGTGATACACACGTAAAATGGAATACTACTTAACCATAAAAAGGACAAAATAACACCATTTGCAGCAACATGGATGAAACCAGAGATTGTCATACTAAGCAAAGTAAGTCAGAAAAAGAAAGATGATACCGTATGGTATCACTTACATGTGGAATCTAAAATACGACACAAGCGAACCTAACTTCGAAAAAGAAACAGACTCACAGACATAGAAAATAGACTTGTGGTTGCCAAGGGAGAAAGTTTTGGGGGAGAGATGAGTGGGAGACTGAGGTTAGCAGATACAAACTATTACATGTAGGATGGATAAAAAAGATCCAACTATATAGCACAGAGAACTATATTCAGTATCCTATCATAAACCATAAAGAAAAAGAATATGAAAAAATGTGTATATATATATATATATGTATAATTGAATCATTTTGCTGTACTGTAGAAGTTAACACAACATTGTAAATAAACAATACTTCAATAGAAATTAAACAAATAAAATTAACTGCTTCTGTGTATATTCAGTTTTTTCCCAGTGTGTCCATGGATTCTGAAACATCAGACTCAAAGCCAGAGTGCCTGATCTGTTGCCTGTGTTCTGAATAGCTACCAAGATTTGAACCAAGTTGGTCCATATATATAGCTGTACTCTTTCCCCTCAATTGATAACAGTCATGCAAGGCGGAAACTTCTGATTCTCCCATGTCCTCAAATGCAGTCCTTACACTATAAGAGCTAGGTCTCCCAAACATACCTACTGCTCTGTCCTCTTCTCACGGATGGACATTCATAGTGTCATCAACACCTCCCCATATCTACCATGAACCGACTGTTCCTTCACAACAGAGCCCTTCTCTTACGACCCAGTCTCATCTCCCTCAACCCCTGCTAGTTTGCATTTTAGGTTTTAAAACTACTTTTTTAATCTCAACCTTTTGCAGTTACTGTCAACATTCTGTCTTGTTATTTTGCAGATCCACTTGGCAAATTGTTATTCTTAAATCTGTCCCACCAACTGCCTTATGTTCCTAGATCTAGTTTACTTAAAGCTGCTGTTTTAAAAATCTAACATAATCCTGTAGATTGGCAGGGCCACTGCACTTATTTATGAGTTTGTCCTGCATGAGGGTATCAGCTGAGAGTGAGACAGACATTTCCTGAATGAGGCAGAGGGGGTCCCTGTCTCTAATTCACCCGTGCGCTGGTAAAGCACTGTGGATGGACACCAATATAATGTAAGCTCTGTAAATCTCAGCAGGGCTGTGTACCACTCACCTTTTGTGTGGATTGTCTGGGATTGTTTTCTTCTCTTATATTTTGCCCTCAAGTTTATCTCCTGTTCAACAAGCCTTCAACAAAGTTAACATTCTCCACAAACCCTTTTCCCAGCACCACCCTCACTGTGTTCATTAGATGATCTAGATTATTTTTACACAAGGAAAATTGAGATTACCAGGAAAATTAAATGTTTCTAGAACTTTCTTTCTCCCCTTTCATTCATTCTATGGAACTATAATGGACTTTCCCTTTTTAAATGAAAATTCCCCACTGTGCTCTGCATTCCAGCAGCTTTTGTTTTCTCTGGAATCCCATTTCTTCAGTCCGCGCCCCCCCCACCCCACACCCGCATAAACTGTGTATCTATCTTTTTTTTTTCCCTGATTCACTCATCCTAAAAGCAGAATACTTACAATCTTTAAAAAGTAATAACTATCATGTAGTGGGCTGTAAAAATACCCACATTTTTCCACTCTTTTTATAAGAAAGGCAAAGTCCTTTTCTTCACTCACTCTTTAACCTCAACTGGCCATATGACTTGTTTTGACCAGTGGGTCATTAGCAAATGTACTATAAGACATATTGAATTGAAAAACACTTCTGGATTGGTGCTTGCTGGCTTGCTGAGTGGACAGCACCACCTTGATGTAAATGAGCCCAGTTCTTCACTGGAAGAACTAGAAGGCCACATCTCCATTAACCAGCCAGCAAGCTGACCCAGAAGCCAACTGCAGGCACATCAAGAACCACAGTAAAGATCAACTGAGCCTGACCCAGATCTGTAGAACCACCCCGCTGAACACAGACAAACTGTTGATCTGTACATTTTTTAGCTAA